TAAAAATTCTAAGGACCAAAATTAAATGATTGAGAGTTGGTGAACTAAAAATAAAGCTAAGCATATACTTTTGGGAACCACCCATGTGTCCCCCCCCCCTCCCCCCCCCCCCCCCCCCACCCAACACACACACACATACACACTTGTTGAGGGCGGCCATATTAAGAAAACCATGCATGCAGTGTTATTCAAAGTTTGTTGGAGCAATTGAACACCAGATCAAACAAGGAATTTAACGGCATTCACATATATCCAGTCCATATAATAATACGAGAGAAGTCAACTAGAATGACGTGGGGGCTATTTAGGGCAAGCCCAGCACAAGCAAACCCTAGATTTGTGACAAGTAATTACCTTAATCAGTATTTTCTCGAAGCAAACCCTAAAATTATATATTTGATGACGAACTGTTTCATTGTCTTGTCCTAAAAAATATTATGTATAGATCTATGGAGACGACGCCACAGACACAACAAAAACGGAAAGACCATGTTTGGCTGTATTTTTAATCTTAATGGACTTCTAATAAATCAGACACGTATCAAATTTTACTAGCAGATCATATCTGGTTGGTGTTTCTTAAACCCTCAATTAGTCTGGTTAATATATTTAAACACTAATGCAGTAATCTAGGAGATTGACTTGTCTTGCGGACACCAAACATGGAAACAAAGGATTATGTTTATCCTTTCAGTGATATGTCATGTAGGGTTTTAATTATAATATATAATTTGTAGGTAATTACATCCATTAAATAATGGCATTCTTAATGTTAAAAGGCACATATTTATTTTGGTGGAACAAGTGTTGTGACGGAAACGTGTCCCAATTTTGAGTCCTAATGACTGCATAAACTCAAGTTCAACTAATTCAAATACCGGGTTGTAACCATGAGTTCAAATAATCAGGACCCTTATTACCAAATTAATGCTTTCTTACATATTTATCATTGACACTTCAGATCATGGATAATTTTTTGTGTCCTTCTAGAACAATAATTGATCAATGCAGGAAAGGTAAAACCTGTAAGGCAAGCAAACAGGCAAGTGGTTTGAACTCTTTTTTTTTTTTTTTGGGGAGGGGGGGCAGATTTCTATAATATCGAATATATTTATATTTGACCAAACAGTTCATCGTTAGATAGAAGTGGATGAAGCAAATACCAGAATTTCAACAACTTTGAAATGGGTTTTCTCATAGTGTTCACCCCTGACTCTACCTGCTATATCTGAAAAAGCAACATGCATGGTTTCTCTGCTTTCATATGTCTTTAAAATGTGTTTTTGGTTCTCATTGCACATCCCCTATTCTCAGATTTAATAAAATGTCTATGTACTAAAAGATGTGTGGTCCAACTAAGTGTTTCAATTATACCAGTTAACAAGAACTACATAAGAACTCGAAATAACAAAAATTCAAAATTTAGGAACATAATTTGGGGACAAAATAATCGTAGCTATTAGATTATCAGTAGTTTTCAGTATTAAATACATTTTATTATCAATCTAATGATCAAAATACATTATCTTTTAATTATGTCTTAATAACATTGATAATAACATTAGTTTTAATTAATTAATACAATAATAAATGGTTGGATAAGTATTACACACGAATAACTTGTTTAGTACAACATGTAAGTAGACAATGAATGATTTTTCTCATTTATTATTTTTTAATATTATATAGTATACAACGACATGAACAAGATACAAACTTAAATCAATAAAACTTGAACACGATCCCAATCAAAATTACACGATACAAAAACAATTAACTAACAGCCTAATGATTTAATGGCCAAAACGGGGCCAGGTGTACCAGTGGTGACAGGTGAGGGTGATTCACTGTTTCTGTTAAATTTCATGTGCAAGGAAGGGGGGGAGGAGAGAGCTGTGTTGACTTGTTGTCACACAGGAGGACACTTGTCAATAGTTTTACGTGGCTGGATTTGAATGACCTCAGTGGGTCCCAACATGCAAAGTTGGCGTCTAAAACTGTAACACGTGGTAAAGGGCGTGCCATACCATCAGCTTACTATAAACAAGTGAAAAGTAGGCTGGCTGTAGTCATGGAAGCAGCACTCCCAATTGTGTCAAGTGAGATGGCTTACCTCGAATTTTAGTGATTTTGTGTTAAAAAATATTTTATGTATATTTGATTTATTTATTAATTTGTGTCTATTAAATCATATTATATAGAGTTTGCATCATATATGGATCATATATAATCGATATATAAATAAGTCGTGTTATGTATTTGTTTTGATCGATTTTATCTGCGGCCGATTTGTATATTAATCATGTCGTATCAGATCCACTCGTTTACGAAATGTGTGGTTTAAAGAAGATTCAAATCTTCTAATTTCATGTCGTGTTATCGAATCATGTCATATTTTGATGCATCTAAAAAAAACACATGTCCGATATATCAATAGTTTCGATTTTTTATCTAAACAACATTATTCTTATGAGAAAAGTTTTGTTCCAAAAATAATTCTTCTAATTAATAACTAAAATTATGACTCAAAAAAGTTAATTTAATATGTTAAATGAACCAATTAGGATTGATCTTTAGCCTTAACATTCATCACTATATTTCAAAATTGACCATAACTTTTTTAAAACCCAAATGTATAGTAAATTACATTCATTTGAATAGAAACTTGAAATTTTCTATTTTATCCGACCCTATTTGAACGGCTAGCCGAAAAAATCGGGTAGGACTACGGAAAAATTTTTGGTCTTCCGATTAAATCCGGTATGAATGCATTATTGCCATTAATTTCTGTATTCTTACCCTACCCTATCCTACCCTACCTGCATACATATATATATTGTAATTGTTGTTGTAATTGTTTTAGGTTTTAGTGTTATTAGTTTATTGTATTGTTAAATTGATGCATGTTATTTAATTAAATTGTTAAAATTATCCAAAAATTAATAATTATAAAAATATTCACCCGACTTCCTCCCCGATTAATTTGGCGAAGAAGTCGAGTAGGAATTCCACACTTGATTGTGTAAGGTAGGTTAAGAAAAAATTCTTCCGCAAAGTATCGGATAAGAAGACGAAGACCATATTTTTTACCCGTAGAGTAGGGTGAACACCCCTAGCATAAACGTAGTATTTGCATTGCATACCTTAGTTTTTTTGCTGAAGTTAGTTTTTGCTATTGAATTCAATAGGTCTACTTGTATCTAGAAATTTACCTCTTATATACATTGCCCATCCTTGTCAGTAAATAACAATTTCAAAATAAAAAATCACCACTGATCGATATAAATATTATATGTAATGCTAACCCAAACATTACAAGAACTATCAGGTGGCTCTTTTGGATGCTTGAACACTTATCAATGCTTCATGAACTTAGATTCTGTCAAGTGATGCTCTTTCGAACTTGGATTCAATTGGAAGTATTGGCTCAAGATTTATACTTTTTTTGAATTTTTATCTGGTAGAATCTCTTCTTGTTTATGTTGTATACATTTTGTTATACTAGTCTGAGCTTAATGTATTTTATCAAAAGCTCTACCTCACATGTACATCCTATGGTTAATATACATACAATTTTTGCTTTTAAAAAAATATTTTTCACAGTTTATGGACTTGTATAGCCTCATTCAAAGAGAAAGGTAATGACAACAATCAGATGATTTTGTTGCATTTAATCTGCGAAAGATTGTCTCGAAATTGGGATTCAAAACTTATAATGTGGACATTGTGAGGTGTAGTTGGACACTCTCATGCTGATGAAAGATTTTTTTTTTTTTGGGTTCAACGATCAGAAGTACTCAAATTAACTTACGCGCATTTCGATTAATTATCTCTCTGATCTAATTAAAAGCATGTCATTTACATCGGAATTAAGATATTCATAAAAAATAAACCTCTCGTGACCTGATTCAAAATATTATCAAAATTCAAACTCAAAAATTTTAAATTTATAACTCGGCCTGTTACAAGAAACCATATCAAGAAAGGTGTCCTAAGAAGAAAATAACTTCAGAAAGTTCTTTGAAAGAGGGAGAGGGACAAACAAAGAAGCATTTCCTAAGAATTGGTAAGGATCTAACTACCTTACCGACCAATTAGTCTAACCTTGTTGACATAATGTAAAGGTCAAACCCTCTGGGTATTTGCCATTTGTCCCTAGCACTCAATCAAATATGAGTAATATTATACTGATCAAATTTTAGAATTAAATTTAGAACTCAAATGACATAACAGTATATTATTTGAAATTTTTATTGCAGTAATGCTAGACTATCCAAATTTTAGAACCAAATTTGAAACCCAAATGATATGACAATTTATTTATGCATCTTTAATTGGTGTCATGTCATTTGAATCCTAATAAAAACTTCAAATAATCAACTGTCATTTCATTTGGGTGCCAAATTTGGTCCCAAAATTTGGTCAGTTTAGGGCCCAAATAACATGACATCAAATAAAAAAGTCTAAATCAGCTGTCATATCACTTAGGTTTCAAATTTAATCCCAAAATTTAGACAATTTAACATTAGTCATCAAATATTACAGTGAGCTAGTTACGTGGACCTCGAGTTCTATTAGCAGCACTCCATAGATGGATTTCAACTTTTACATCCTAGGTAAAATATTTAATACAATAATGATATAATATCAACACCATACATAATACCATATTTGACAATAAACCAAAATGTAGCATATTCAACATGATATAATAATCACCACATATGACACGCAATCATAGAGTATATTAGTCGATGTGTTAGTTTATTGTTAAATGATAATATCATGTGAGAGAGAGAGAGAGAGAGGGGGGGGTTGACGTAGCATGAGGCCGGCACCAAATCCTATTGACCTCAATCTATCTCCATCTTTTGCTTCTCATCTATAAATATGGGAGAGATCTTCCCCTTTGGACCTACAAGTTCACTTTTGCTGCAAACCTTCACTTTCTATCTTTCACAGCCTTCAACCGCCGCTTCCATCTAAACTAACGCACTCTCATGGGAAGATCACCTTGCTGTGATAAGAATGGAATTAAGAAAGGTCCATGGACCCCAGAGGAGGATCTTAAGCTCATTCAATATATTCAGATGCATGGATCAGGCAACTGGCGAACCCTTCCAAAGAATGCAGGTAACCTAATTCTTCTCTTACTCTATGCTAATTGAATCATTGTCAAGCATAATAACATTTGGGTTTAAAATTTCTTGTGTTCAACTGCCATATTTCAATTTTATAGGGCTTCAGAGATGTGGAAAGAGTTGCCGTCTTCGTTGGACAAACTACTTGAGACCCGATATCAAGAGAGGGAGATTTTCGTTCGAAGAAGAAGAAACTATAATCCAATTACACAGTGTTCTGGGGAACAAGTAAGAATACTTTTTTCTTGTTAGGGTTTGAAAAAAAATTAACATTGTAAGGAAGAGAATCAAATTTTTTTTCTTTCATATCAATCACCCCATGTTTTCCTTTTAATCTTCAATCAAATTTGTTTAAATTTTCGTTTTGTTTGATTTCAGATGGTCTGCCATAGCGGCTCGCTTGCCCGGAAGAACAGACAATGAAATCAAGAATTTTTGGAACACCCATGTTAGAAAAAGGCTTCTCCGAATGGGTATTGATCCGGTGACTCATAGTCCTCGTCTTGATCTTCTAGACCTATCATCCATTCTCAACTCAACTCAGCTTAACCTTTCAAACTTACTTGGGCTTCAAGCACTTGTAAACCCAGAACTGATGAGGCTAACTGCTCTTTTAGCATCAAATCATGAAAACCCTGATTTTTTATTGCATAAACTTCAAGAAAACCAACTCTGCAATCAAGAAAACCTATTGCAAAACCAAAGCCAAATGTTCCGAGCCCAACAATTGCAAGCACTTTCCCAAGATGTTCCTATTTGCAACCCATCAAGTGTTCCTTGCAACTCATTTCTAAATCCAACACAACTCATGCAAGAGAAGATGGGGCAATTATCAACGAACTCGATGAACTTGAGCTGCCAAAATTTCCAAGAAAATTTAGCATCTTCAAATTTTACAGAAACTCTTGTTACCCAACCAAATTATGGTTTTTGCGGGTCTGATCAGATCAGGAACGATGATGCACCAGAAAACTCACCTTTGCCGTCCTTGAACAACAGCAGCAGCAGCAATAACAGCCGGAACTTCAGCTTTGAATCAATTATATCGACACCTGTATCAAGCCCAACGCCCTTGAATTCATCGTCAACATTCATCAACAACAGCAGCACAGAAGATGAGATGGAAAGCTATTGCAGCAATTTGTTGAAGTTTGAAATTCCCGAGAGTTTTGAGTTCGATGATTTTATGTGAATATTGTACTATGCGAGTACCAATGTGAAGGGAACTATGATTTTGTTTTTGGTTTGGCCCACTTAGATTTTATAGCTCGTTTTGTAAGATACTTTTTTCTGTAATGCGTGTTGCTAGTAAAATTTTCTATAGATTTTTGTCTGTATTATACATATATATAAAACAGTATCATATTTTCTTCAGGTGTAGTGACGGGCAGCTGCATATTAAGAATCTTCTTCCTCTTCTTTTTTTCTTCATTATCAAGAACAATTGTGACAACTTGAAATTAAAGATGGATCACCTTCTTCTTCTTTTTCTTCTTTTTGTGAGTATTCATTATCTAACGACGGATCCATTAAGTCAACATTGTTTCGCACATCTGGGACCAACACATTTTGCATTGCCAAGCAATTTGAAAGAATTCATAACATTTGCTCGTTTTATCCTCACCAAAGATTTTTCTGGTTTAATTTCCAAGTTGTGGAACATTGCTAACTCGTAAGTTTTCAATGAACAAATTTATTCTGCAGCTACAACATCATTCTGTAGATCATATTCCCTTGCATGATCTTCTTTTAGTTGTTTAGTAATAAGAAATGTTCTTCTAGTTCGTAAGTTTACATTAATGAAGTTTTTAGGTCTTGTTGATCCATTATTTATAGCTCTCAAGTGCAATGCATGAAATGGTCTGGCTATGCGTTGCAATGACATGTTATTGCATTTCTATAAGAATCAACCTTTTCAAATTGAGAATCAGTGCACCTTTTCTAACACAACCACTATTATGGGAAGATGGGAATGCCACAACAATGGTGACGGGCCAAAATTGTGATAAAAGAGGCGACACGTCATGAGTTATGATTCAATAGAAGACACAGCCTAACTTTCAGCTATGAATTGGACTCATGTTGTGAGCTAACTTTGTTCATCCCTCACTATTGTTCATTTTTGTTGTGTGCAATGTTAAGGACTAACTTTCCTTAGTTACGATCATGTATGGGAATAGTTAACAATAGAATCAGAAAACAAACGCAAAAGAAATGGCACGTGAACACATAGATTTACATGAAAAACTTGAGACTGGAAGAAAAAACCCACAGAGTCGCACCAAATCCACTTTGAGACCAACAAAATGAAGAGGGAAATACTCGAGATGCTACCCTACTCATTTATTATATAGCGTTAGGGTTACAATCAATTAAGTTTAAAATAATCACAAAAGTACCTTGTTGCCAAACGAGCCAGACATAAGTGATCAAATGGATTGGAAATGTCCATTACTATCAGACTCCAAACTATCTTACAGTCAAGCACAACCAATGACACATCCATGAGGATTGATGAGGAACCCTGGAAACAGCTCCAAGTTGACACGGATGCATTAGAAATCTCCCATCCTGGCCAGGTGAAGATACTTCCCACCCATGAATGCAAAAGCAGCCGTGATCACTCGACCCCTAGGAGTTGTGATGCTAATGAAGAAGACAGTGATGATGAAGACTTGAGAAAATATGTTCAGTTGAGAGCTTCAAAATCACTGATGAGGTTGACATTCCTTCGGCAATGATTCATAGGTGTAAGGCAATGGGAGCCTGAATTTTAACCATCCATTGCTGTAACATGCTGAATGTTTATAAAATAAGAGTTATAATTGGGGATTAGATTTTGAGGATATTTGAATTTAATGTGATCAATATAATTTTTTTTTGGAGAGTTCATATACATAAATGGATTCCTAGTGCAAAGACAAGACCGATGACTGTAGTACTGGATATGTTTTCTTGTTGAAAAAAACGAGTGATGTTAAATACCCGTAGTAATCAAGATGGTGTAGTGTTTACATTGGTCTATCATAGGACACTCGTCAAAAATGGAGTGCAACACGTGGCATGTATTCACCCATCATGACCCATTATTTATATGTGGACTTTTCGCCCATACACGGTGAATAATCTATCATCGAGTGAAATTGTGAGAAAAAGTAACGGAGAGGATCTAGATTCAAACCTCACTACTGCTATTAGACAGGTATCTACAAAATTTGCACTACCACTCAGCCAATTGGTATTCCCCCAAGCATGTTGCAATGGCCTCATGACCCTGCTGAGATTCTGCCTTTTCTTCTCTTTTCTTCTTCTCCCTGGAAGCCACATACATTTAGGAAGGATTATTGCTGTGAATTATCGGGAGGAAATCTTTCAATAGAGAGATATCTGACATCTAAACGTACATTACTGCTTCAATGACCATGAACTGTAAAAAAAGATCTGGAAGTCATGGGAAAATGCAAACTCTTTGGTGCGTCTGTACTGCCACAGAGGGCTACAATGAAAAGAAAATTTTGTACAAAGGAAAGACTTTGCGAGGAACTCTAATGGGCACCGCAGACAAAAAGAAGAAACTAGTAAATCAATGCCACAGAAAAAGATCTGCTTTCAAAGTTTATGAACTTGCTTGGGTTGACAGCTTAAGTGCACTCTATGGTGTTATGATGACCCTCTTATACGACCTTGTGCAAGTACGCTAAAATAGCATAGCAATTCATGAAGAGTTATGATCAAATATAGAGTTGGGAAAGCTATTATTATCACCTATTCTTTCAGGAGCTCTTTAGCTTATACCAGCTTAGACAGTAAACTATGGCAACGTCAAGGTCGCGATCCACTCTCCTTTTGTCTATGTTCAGCACAGCACAAACCTGTCATACCAAGAGCAGTCAACAATAGAACTGATACATGAAAACTAATGGAACTTCAAATGCACAAAAAGGGTGTTTCTTGACATGAATAGAGCAATACGAAAAACAGTTATTTGCAACTAAATAACGATAGAACGCAGACCCCAACCTTAGTTTAAGGTAAATACATGAAGCAATACTCCAGAGTCTTCTACAAATATAGAGGCAAATATTTTCACCTCACCTTGCAAATCGATATATACACACACATTTGTATATACAATCATATTCTAACCATCATAAATTGCCAAAATTTCTCTTCACTGCAGGACAAATGTTACATCCACCTAATATTCAATGTTACAGATGGACCATATAACAGAACCACATTAGGCATGCTTATAGGACACACGTAAACCACACAGGCACCTGGCCCGGCCCAACAGTACATTTTTACAAGCCTGAGCTTTAGGCCCATTTCAAAGAAAAGTCCCAAATTTTTAAATATCATAAATACCCTTCGTAAAAAAAGTCTTATAAAAAAATAAGTCCAATCAATCATTTAGGCCCATAACCCAATCCAAATATTAAATATTTAAAAAAAAATTAACTATAAAAAAAAATTTGAACTTAAAGGTTACATCAAATTAAAAAAAAAGATCACTTGGTAGCTCAGTGAAGGTGACTCGGTCTCCATCCTCCATCCACTCGAGTTTTCATTGCAACATAATGGACATGATTCACAATCAAAAGTTAACATTTGAGATCATTTAAGGTTCTATTGTTTCATAATTTTAATTTTTTTGTTATATATTTTAACTATATTATATATTGTGTTTGTTTAGTTGTTATATAGTTATAATATATTAATAATATAGCGTCTAAAAGACAACCAAGTGGATATAAAAAATAAAAAATAAAAAAAAACAGACCAACTAATAGAATCTCAAAAGAGATTTCTCGATAAATTTGTTACTAGTAACAAAAATAATGTAACAAAAAATTTATATGAAAATTTTGAAAATGAACAAGCAGATAATGAAATAGAAGATAATAAAATAAACAATATTGAAATAGAAAATACTAAAATAAAAGATAATAAAATAGAGGATAATAAAATAGAAAATATTGAAAAAGAAAATATTTTATGGCTTAGATTTATTTTTAGAATTAAATATTTTAAAAGAAATTTTACAAATAAAAGAAAATACTTCAATTGAGATACTAAATTATATAAAAAAAAGTTAGATTATTTTCCAAATGCATGCATTGCTTATAGAATATTTTTAACAATTTCTGTAACAGTTACTTCTGCGGAATAAAGTTTTTCAAAATTAAAATTAATAAAATCTTATTTAAGATCGACTATGTCACAAAAAAGATTAATTGGATTAACAATATTATTAATTGAAAAAAATATGGTAGCAAAACTTGAATATACAAACTTAATTAATACTTTTGCAACTCAAAAAATAAGAAAAATTAATTTTAAATAAAAAATATTAATACTAAACATAGAAGAATTCATTTAAAAGTACCGCTTTAGACTCTAAATTATCTTGATCCGCCCTTGCTAGGTTCAAAACTTGTAAATTCTGCTTTCCATAGGTCAAAAATGGGCTTATTTGGGTTTTTTTTTTGGTCAGGTTTGTTTGTTCTTATGACGTGCATTTTCCTTTATTAACAATCAAGAACTTTGGGTTCTCATAACAGCCATTTGACCTATTAACAATCAAGAACATTAATTATCAAATTCATAAAGAGAAGCAGAACATAGAACACCGAACTCATCCAACATTCTTTGCAGTAAAAACATAAAAAGAAGAGATAGGAATAGTACCTTTCAGGATAGAGGGAGAGAGAAAGAAGAACACATATAAACAACAAAATACAGCACATTGTCAGAAGGACATCTTTTCTTCGTTTTTATCCTATAGGAGAAAAGATTATGTAATTTGCTTTTGATGGAATACAAAAGTTTCAGGTAGAAAATCTCACATATTCCATCAGGAGAGTGCCTTGCTACAAGTTTTTTTCATACTTAACACACAAGCTTCGGATAGAGGAAAGTGTAATAGTCCGTAATAAGACCATGATTCAAAGTCGTGGTATCGGTCATCAATTTGGAAGGCACCGATATACATCAGTCACGGTGTAATATCGGCCGTATCTCAAAATGCTAGATAAAAACTCTAAAAAAAATTAAAGAAATCATAAAAAATTTTGAAAAACATAAACATCATCATCCGTGTATCATATGCCCATAATAAATCCAAAAACACATTAAACATTATTAAAATGAAACATAAGGGCGTTATCGAAAATATTGATCATCATCAATATTCAACTTATTGAAATTGAAATATTGATATATCTAATTATTACATTAGATTTAAAAAGTACCGTTGTTTTTTAGGATTAAAAAATATTGATATTTTTTATTTTGAAAAATATTGATGTATATAATCATTATATTAAATATTTAATGATTTATGAAAGAGTAAATTTACTCCAAGTAAACTTTGGCAAAAAGTAAACCCAAAAATTGATTACCCATAAATAAAATAAATTAACCACACTAAAATAAATTAAGAAAATAAAAAAACAATGGGAGAATTACACCCTGACCATCTGAGGTTTATTATTTAATCACTTAGACCTCCTAATAAGAAAATATAATTGTATATTAATTACGATTTTTTAAGAAAAATTTAAATTTTTTTATTGATTTTATTTCAATAAATGATACAATTTAAAATATAATTGATTTGATATTTTATCTTTGATTGAAGTATTTTTGGTGTAAGTATAATATTTTAAACTTAAGAGGTTTAAGTAATATATTGATGTCGATCGTATTAGGGAATAATTAGGAATGAGAAGGGAAGAAGAAAGTGATTAGAAAAGAAAAAGAAGGGATGAGAATAGAGAGAATATTTAAAGAAGAACATTCAATATCAATAATCAATAATCAAAGTCTAGTCCCTCAACAAATATGTATCCCCTATATATATAAGGAATTCACAAATCCTATATATATAAGGAAATCACAAACCCTAAAATAAATAAATAATTAAAATATCAACTAAATTCTTAAAAGTTAAAAAAAATTACTTAAAAGTTAAATATTAAAAGTATCTAAATAACTATCATAATTAATCTATAATATCTATCCAATTCCTACATGATCCTCATCATTCTCCTCCGATTGAAAAAAACAATCTTCCGGAGAGTCTTCAAAGTAGAAGTACCCCAAGAGAGCAGGATGAAGATGACATAATGCCTCATCTAGAATGAAAGAACAATCGACTTCTTTCTATCGACCAGGATAAATGCAACAATTTTCATCTGTATGAACACCTGCGAATAAAATAGGAGGCTCTGGAGTACCTCAATTAAGAAGCATGTCCTCCTAATAAAAATTTGGACTAATACTAATATTCAATTGAAAATTAAGTAAATAAGTATTAGATCCAAACTCAAGAATAGCAAAACAATTCCCATTAGATTTGAACAATAGGCATTCAATGGGACAAGACATCAGTGACAAAGGAGTAACTATAACACCGTGATGCTGAAAATAAGAAAGTACAGACTCAATTGAACACTTGACAGTAGACAAAGAATCAAAGTTAACAATCTCAAGTGGGGCAGAATCTAGAACAATGTCAACAATCTCTGGTAGAGAAGAATCCGAAACAAAACCAACAATCTCAAATGAAGAAGAATCCATAACAATGCCATAATGATTCAGAATAGTAGATATAGAATAATTGCCAACAGATTGTAAAATAGATAGCTCAATATGCTCAACATCTTGCATAGGAACTAACTGAATGGATTTTTTTCTCAAGTTCAAAGCTTAGTGATGATTCCACTTTTGGCACCGATGAGGTAGAAAACATGATAGGATCAAAAATAATCTCATCACTAGTATCAATGCTCAAACGATTGAAAGTATGTTTTGAAGGATGTAAAGTATGAGGGTCTAATGGAACAAAAATATGACTATCATTATGCGGGTGTCCGACATTAGGTGAAACTGGAGACTTGTCTTTATTTTCTTCCATTTGCTGACTTGCAAGAATTTTATTCAAGTAGGAAAGTTGACTTGTTAATTCAGATAATTGGTTTTTCACCTCTCTACATTCTTCACGTAATTGGCTAAGTGAATGTTTAGTATTGGCAACTTCAATTTCAAAGATCTCAACCTTTTTTCCTAGGGCAGTCTGGGCTTTTGAATGGTCACTAATAACATTGAAGATTAATCCAAATTGACCTTGATGACGACTTTAGGAAGCATGACGTTGGTACTTGTTATGTGATCTAAGTGTCACAAAGTAATATTCTAGATAATTTTTATAATAAAATTCAAACTTATTATGTATTTTATGATGACTCCGAGAAACTCTAGGAGTGGAATATGTATAGTGGTGGAAAACTATGAACTTGAGACATTCTTGATGATCATATGAACTCATGATTAACTTTGAAAGATGAGAATAACATAAGAATGAGTTCAATGATGCAATTAATAATTACGAGAAATGAGAAAACTTAAATAGAAGAAAATATGTTTTGAATCCTTTACAAATTCTCTAATTTTTCAATGAATAAAAATATTAGTCTCAAATTTTATGAGAGTGTGCATACCATAATCAATAAGAAATTCTGAAACTTTTGGGAATGATTTATAATTTTTAAAACTTCTGAGAAAAAATTCTGCAATTTCTATAACTTCTGGATTGATGTTTCTATAATTCTGAAATTTTTTGTGGTAGTTCTGCAAGTTTTGAAATTTTTTGGGGTTTTTCTATAATTTTTAGAATAACTGGGATGTTGTTGCAATTTTTTGAATCTACTGGACAGTTCTAGAATTTTTTTTTCGGCTGGTGATGAACAGTGCCACACGTGAACAGTGAACAATATATATATATATATATATATATATATATATATATATTTTTGGATACGAATTAAAATTGGACTCTGATATCAAATTGATGTAGATCGTATTAGAAAAGACGAAAATGATGAGAAAAAAAAAAGGGATGAGAATTGAGAGAGAATTTTAAGAAGAACATTCAATATCAATAATTAATAATCAAAGTCTAGTCTCTCAACAAATATGTATCCCCTATATATATAAGGAATTCACAAATCCTATATATATAAGGAGATCACAAATCCTAAAATAAATAAATAATCAAAATGACAACTAAACCCTCAAAAGTTAAAAGAAATTATTTAAAAGCTAAATATTAAAAATATCTAAATAACTATCATAATTAATCTATAATATATTTTCAATTCTTACACGATCCTCATCATATATATTTACAAACTTCAAAGAGTCTAAATATAATTTATTAACAGATATATTTATAGCAGGAGTCTATGTGTTACGCGCGTAAAAACTTCAGGAGGTTTATGTATAATATTTTAAATGTGAGGAGTCTAAGTGATTAAATAACAAACTTTAAAGAATGTGAATGTAATTCTCCCAAAAACAATTGAGTCTACATTTTTTCACTTCTTGGGACTTGGGAACCTAGAACACAGAGTCTTTAAAAGACTGTTTGACACTTGGGTCCTTTAGAGTTCAAACTGTGTATATTGAGAGAGAGAGAAAAAAAAAAAAAAAAGAATTTGAGAGTGAATTTGAAGAACCCACCCGGGATCACTAGAAGACGGCTAGAGTTGGAGTTGTTGGGTTGGTTTTTTACAATTCTATTTCTCTATCTATCGCGACTGGTTCGCAGCAAAGAAAATCAGGAAAACAATAGAAAAAAAGAAAAAGAAGTTGAAGCAGTGTGGGGATCTCTCTGATCTATATTCAATTCTACAATATGTCATACAAATGCTTACAATCTTTGTGGCAGTGGGCATTTGATTGAGGGATTTTAACCTTTTACAAATGTAGGTCTTGAAGTTCTTCATCTTTTTCCTTTTTGTTTTGAATTCTTACTATTTGTTCGAGATTTTGGGAATTTTCCATAAGATTCGATCATACAAGACCGATTTCACTATGAATCGTCCGATCCATACCGAGTTGCTCTGATTTGTGCCAATACGTCTAAGTCTGACCGAGATATCACCGAGTCAAGTGAAAATCGAGATTTTTGCATAACATATATTGATATCGAATCAATAAGGGTCGAGTCAAATACGACTTGACCGATACTTTGAACCATGAATGAGACAACCTTGCCAAGCTTTTTCGCATACTGATTCATTATATCTTTTGACTTGGATGTTGACAATAGGTATCACTTTTCTTTTAGCTTAAGGGGTATGCATCTCTCACACAATACACCACATGCATTCCACCATTTAGTCCATCCAGCTTTAATTCTATAAATAACATCGTCACTAAGCTCAAACTCCTAGTGAATAATAAAGCCTAAATAGCGAAAGTTTTCACTATTCTATATTTCTTGATCTTCAATTTTTATTACTTGCTGGTTTGAATTTCTCTTTTTGCTAAACTTACATTCCATATTTTCAATATTAATATATTATATCTTAAATCCTTTTGATTCTAGAGCTTCTCAACAGATTTCTAGTTTATTACCAATTCCTTCTTTACTTTCATCGATTAATACAATGCCACCCACAAATAACCCAAGCAAAAAGATATGGACTCAAAGCAAACTTAGTGTAACCCTAATCTAAGCTTATTGATCATGACGACAAATAATTAAAGCACTTGCACAAATAAAACATTTGTTCAAACACTTCATCAAGTAAATTCCAAACATGTTCACAATCATATATTGCCTTTATTATGTTTCTTTGTTAGGAATTGCAATGATAATTCTGATAGTCTGGGTTCTACCTTTTCTAAAACACCTGGTTCAGTTGCATTTGCCAACTCAAGAAGGCGAAATAGGTCAATAGCAAAGAATCGACTGTAGCTGAAACTTCCCTTGCCCCCAGCTCTTTCAGCAATGTCCTTCAAAATGCCTTCTACTTCTCCTCCTCAAGTGTATGAAATTAAGAGTAATGTTAGATAAACTTAAAATTTAGACTTGATAATTTCAACCATTGAATAGGTAGTGGGTCTCAATAAATGCTGGGATCCACAGTGAAATCAATGGTTGAGATTACTAAGTCTAGTTTTTAAGTCTACTTTTTAAGTCCACGTAGCATTGCTTAGCAATTAAAGGCTTTATTCCTTTCCTTTGTTTTTTCCGATAAAAGCTCACATAAGAAGCTTAATTTAAAGGATTAATATAAGCTACCCTTGCCATAAAATAGATTATAACATCATTTTTATTGTCTATTTCAAAATTTAATTTCACCACTGCATTACTGCTGACCTAAAGTTAAATGAAAAGGCAAAGAAATTCACAAAAAAGAAAGTTCACAAGAAGGTTAAAGAGTTTGGTAGACAAACCTGTGTTTCTCTGGATCCTCCTTTGGTGCTCCAGTATATGCTTTGAAGATGGTATCCCGGTCTTCGTCACTTGGGTACCCCTCCATGAGCTGATCGTACGCAGTAACAAGACCAAGGGCAAATACAGCGTCATAACGATATGTCCTCTTGTACCTCATTAGATGTTGCTGGACAATTAGCTCTTGCAGCACGTTGTTGTAGATTCTGGGAATTGGTCGCTTATAAGCCTTTGGGAACTCCATTTTGTCTCAGAAATAGTGGGCACATGTGAAAAGAATGACAACAAGAAGTTGCATCATAAACCACAGTACATGCATCCAAGTCCTTTCATAAATAATCACAATTAACTATATAACCAATTACCTAAATTCCTTCGAAATTTAAACAGATGGTCATAAATAGCAAGCTTCTCGATAGACTTATTCTTCATTCATGGGATATTCAATCTGGAACGGTTAAGGTAAATCGGATTATATACCAGAGTTTAAGGTCACCATCATATTGGCTAAAGATACAGAAAGAACATACTAAGTTGCACAATTGTGTTAGCAACAATATTGAACAGGCATAAGTTTTTAAACTCTCAGTTAAGCGAAAGAAGCTTAAAGTTACCAAAAATTAGTTTCAGTTAATGAGCTGAAAGAGTTCAGAGTAGGTAAAGTCAGAGAAAAAAAAGCTAATCTTGAGTCCTATCATTAAGTCTTTGAAGGTCTAATATACACGAGATACAAGAGAAGGAAATGCACTTTGATGGTAATAGACAGCCTCCTCCATCCAACTACGTGAGAAAACTATTCATGAAATAAGTGCAGGTAGAAACAAAACAATTATGTGATTCCAATGATAAATCCTCCCGATTGCACAAAAACTATTGAAATTAAACCAAGCCCCCAAAAATATGTAAGGAAAAGGGCAGTTAAATCCCATTGTTTCTTAAGATATTCTGAGTTGAAGAGTTGTCTTTAACAATTATGTGTTGTTCAATGTTAAACAATCATCTACTCTAAAAATTTAAATTATTTGAGCTTTTAGAGTAGATGGTCACGTAACATGGTATAGAGCTATAGGTCATGTGTTTTAATCTCGCCACCACCCTAATGATTAAAAAGATTTTTATGTAATAGGCCCAAAATCTAGCTGAGGGGGTGTGTCGAAACACTGAAGGAGGATATTAGTTTGTATATTACTCAAAATTGAAATTTGGTATATTTTACTCAATGTATATCACGGATCATTGCTTAATTAGTAGTGATATGCTCAAGCTATGAAGCATGAGAACGGTTGTTCGATTCTCAGAGAGAGTGGCCTCCTTGGCATAAGTACGCATTGTACATTGCTCAGTCAATTAACAGTTTCACTCTTAAATTTATCAAATTTGCCAAGAACTTGCCATTACTATCATTTGTTAAGCAGAATTCACATTTTCTCTGTTTGTAACCGTGGAATCAATTAAATTTTCAGTTTCACTAATCGTACATTTTTTACAGCAACCAAACAACAGACCACTAGAAAACTGAAATCAACAGGAAAATCAGTCAAACTGATGGAAAAATCAACAATAACTTGCCCGTTTCAGTAGACGTGCAATGAACGACCAAACGAAAACCGCAATTCGTACCGGGACAATCGAAATAGAAGTTTTTACTGAACAAAAAGGCATGAAAATTGGAAGCGAGAGAACGAGCCCACCAAACATAGAATTTGCTATCAGTGGATTGACATTGACCCATTGCGGAAAATGATAGAAAGCTAATAGTAGCCATTGAAGAGAGTGGAACCAGGAGATTTTCCGGGAAAATTGCGATCGGAATTATCTGACCCATATTTTATTCATTTTTTTATTTTTTTATTGGGTAATGATATAATTAAAAATTAAATTTGATAATCACAATCATTAAATAAATAATGGCTTATAATACTAGGATCTACGGTAAAATTAATAATTATAATTATAAAATTTATTATTTTTAAATTTAATTTTTAAGTACACGTAACATTTTTTATCAATATTTACTCCTTATCCAAGTGTATCAACTTTTTCATAGATTTAGCAAACCAAGAAAAAATTGAGACGTAGGACAATTTGATGTCTTAGGTTGTAGTTAAGGAGAAAATATTGAATGATACAGAATTGTAACATCGCATCATCATGGTATTTGATATTACTGTATAATAAACAAATTAACATGAAATTTAGCAATTATCATGTTCATATAGAAAATAATCACTACGTAATTATTGAGCGATAAGTTATCAATGTCACAATATTAATTTTTAAAATATCACGTCATACTTAAAAAATATAATTTTAAACGGCCAAATATTTTCTCTTAATCCCAATAAATTGGGGATCATTCATTCATTACTTAAAAAGGACCACTTAAAAAGGACCACATTATCCCAGTGTAATAGGTAAACATTTGCCTTGCCAATCTTTGTGCTGGCAGATACGATGATATTTTTCTTGTTTTTTTGTCTTTTTTATGATATTAGGATAGTTGGTGAGATATCGTATCTCCAATGTATCCTATTATTGTATTTGGTGGTGTATGATCGTGTTGATGAGCAAAAAGTGCAGATAACATATGATAAGATCAAAGGTACAAAGCTCGTGTGTGATGTTGAAACGAAATGCAGAGGGGATTAAAGGGGTACACACAGTGAAAATATAGTGGTTCGCCGGCTCAGGAGTTCGGTTAGTCCACTCTTTAATGAAGGTTCTTGTTCCCTCTCCTTTATTCACTACTCAAATGTATTACAATACCGTCTTTCTCAAAAATTAGGGTTCCCCCCTTTCTATGGAGGCGTTACATAGCATTTATAGGACTATTTCCTATTCTATAGGATCTCAGCCGAGATCTTCGCCTATCATTAGTGAGACTCTCCTTAATTTTAAAAGAGAATCTTAGTTGGTTGAGAGTTTTATGCCTTGAACCCAATAAATTTCGTAGTTATCCAGTTGTTCCCTTGTCAGTTCTGTTATCATCTCTCCAAGGGGAGCTCTAGTTCTGAACTTCTGAGCTCCTCATATTTTATCAGACCTCCTGACCTGACATCGTTTTTTTAGCTCGCTCTTATAACTTATTTGAATTATCATAAGTATCCGTTCTTTTTTTTTTTTTATTTAATGATTATGTTATTATCTATAAAGTATGGGTTTGATCACTTAAATAGTAGATCAAGATTTTCCACTAATTAAGAATTTATAAATGATAAGAAATAAAAAAATGTAACTTTTGTCAACATATGCAACTTGGCTTTTAGCTTTTTCTGCTGTCCCAATCACCTTTTTTAATAAAAAATAATAATGAGTTAATGAAGTGGAAGAAACATAATTATTGGTATTGGTTTGGGACCCTGTCATGATAAGTTACTGATAATTATTATTCGTTGAATTGACAGCCAGAAAGCACACACTCACAACATACACTGCTTTGCTGGAGGTCAGTGTGGTAGAGCTAAAGGGCTGTGGATTGAGATCTAGACATGATTATGTACTCCACTAGTCCTGAAATAATATTCTCACTGCTGGATCCAATATTTCATGGATAATAACATTACGTACATCACCCCATTTTTACCGAGAGAAATATTGAATATGACGGTCATATTATGTAAATAATATTAACGTGATATTATTAATTAATAATTAAATATTAAATAAATAAGATAAATCTCACTTAAATAATTATTTACTTAAATAGAGGAGGAGTGGGTAATTATGTATTTACATGGAGGGTTAATTATTAATTTTAGTGAAACTCATTTACTTAATTATTTTGATATTATTAGTTAATAATATTACGTCAATATTATCACCTAATACCACGTCAAGATAGTACATATAACATTGTTAATAATTTGTCATTAAGTGAAATCTATACTTTGACCACCAAGTGCGTAGATCATTTAACAAGGGCTCTTCTACCTTAACTAAGGTTTTCAGTGCGAGACTTAGAAATATAATTATGTTGAATACTTAGTATAGAGAGTTTTACCGTCTTTGTGGTCCTACCTGACTCTAATCCGGATTAATCGAAACCCATTTTAACTACTATCAAAAAAAAAAAAAAGAAGTCTAAAATTTTGGTTTCATAGAAGGAATGACCTTTTGACTCTTGATTTTCTTGTCATTTGGCAACTCTTTGCGGTGGCGATAACTTCGTTACATTATTATTTGAATATTATGAGTCTGAGTCACAAGAACACATTTTTTGCGGGCAATGTAAACTTGAATATATTTAGTTTTATTTAAATCTTAGAATAAAGTCTCATGTATTCGATTGTGTTTTTTTTTTTAAAAGCCCGGTTAAAGTATAATAATCTATGTGATGGCTCAAATTATAAAAACCGCACTTTTATGGATCACTCAAACATGTCTTGAATCGAATCAAAGTGATCTCATGAAATTCTTGATAAAATAAAAAGAATTACCAAATAACTAGTTGAATACAAAAAGAGGAAGATCTTGTTTTCCAGGCCACTTCACAAGGATAGTGGGATAAATCAAAAGCCAGTGTATCTGTTATTGTCACTTTTGTGACTTTGTCTATATTCAGAAAGTATATATCACACAAGAATTTTTAAATAGAATTCCCATTCATCAAGTTGTAGCTAAAGTGGATAATCCCTACCCGAGGGAAGCAACTTTCATTTCTTATGTGGGGCCTGTATCTTGTATGCAGTACTTTTAATTTTATTATGATGTGCCTATAATGGCTTTGTATTGACTGATTCATTTCCTCAATTAAATTGGTAGAGCACATTGATTTTGAATCTTTGAGATCGATTTCACTGATAAGAGATATGAGTTATAAATTCAGAAGTTTTGACTTTAAATCTTGACATTCTTTTAAGATTAAGTCATGAGAAATTTGAACATGAATAGCATAGTCCCGACGATGATAGTTTGATTTTAAACAGAATAAAAAAAAAATTAATCAAGATGCATTTAAACTGATTTAGACACTCCTGATCATTAAACCAAAAAAGAATCATTAACACGTTACCCATTAACTTGCCTAACTCGCTCATAAATAAATGGATGGGGGTACAAGTATTAATTAATAGGGATTCTAAATGGATTGAGTAATATGACTCGTTTTAACACCATGCATGATCTCAAATGTTAATGTGAAGACTAGTGTGTCCACTTGAACAATTAGGCGGGTTAAAATGAATACCCATTAAATTGAGCATTTGTCATGTTATCAAATAACACACACTAATATACCAAAAAATACACACATATATACCAATATACATAAAAAAACACACACACACACACTAGCACCCTGGCCTAAATTAGTCAC